TGGGTATTTATACTGAAATATCTGTGGAAATAGTTCTGTTCCTATCTAACATTAGCAGCGAATCGATTTCTCCCATTGCTACAAGTACAATCCCACCACTTGGAACTGGTTCGTTGAAGGTCATCCTTATACTTGTTGTACCGTTCTTTATTAAATCAAACATTTCTGGTCCATTATCTTCCTGACTATTTGTGAGGTTAAATACAAAGAAGCAATATCCTGCATATGCATACCGAAACATTGATATACCGTTACTTTCTAGCGATCCCGCGTACCCTATTGCTTCTTGCATGTCATGATAAATTCTAGCATAGTTGCCTTTTGAAAAATCAAGGGAATAAGGGGCTGCTGGAAAAGTTACTCCCCCAGCAGTTATGGAAATATCTCTCAAATTAAAATGTTGGAAATAAAAAGGTGTTGTTCTTTGACGTCCTACAAAATCTTTATTATCAACCATTCCCAGTATGATTCGTCGAGGTACTTGATCCGTCCATAGGTTAGCATTAAATTCTGTTCTATTTTCACTGATGAATAAGGATTTTAAGGATGTTTTTCTTATCGGGTAACGAGCGGGCTTTATTTCGAGTTTTTTTGAAATATCAAAAGCTAAACTATCCATTAACTCAATCTTCTTTACATATAATTTGCAAGCCACAATTTCTAGATGATATTTTGGGGCAGTGTCCCAGGGAGCACTAAGTAGGAAACTTGATTCATTGGGTAGGAGTTCAATATCAACTTCACATTGATTCACTAAATATCTTGGTTGATTACAAATATCAACATCCAATTTGGCCATAAATTGTGCACTACGAGGATTTCCATCTTCGTCTAAGAATAATTTTTTCCTTGATTTAATTCCATATCCATTTGCATCAACTCCTGGATATGTCTGTGTAGCCCCATCATCATAATATCCTGCAACAGAAAGATAAGAGTTCTTCACACTTTGTGGGTAAGTTAGTTCATAGCCGAAAATACTTTTGTATGCCATGAGGGAATTCCCTTCAAAAACCTGTGTCCCATTAATATGCATGCGACAATTTTTCCAAATTGTGTGGCCTATAAGCTGCACGGTCGCCACATTATCATCCTTTCCTATATCAACAAGTTTCCCATCTTTATCTTCCTTTTTAATCCTAAGTTCAGTAAAAACATAGGTTTTGGCTAAATCAATATAATTTGTAGTTGCATGAATTTTAAAATGAAATGGGGTGATATTTACAGGGTTAAGTGTGAGTAATTCAATAAATGATGAGTTGCTAATACTAACATTCGTATGAGGAGTTTCGAAAAATGATAAAGCATTTGTTATTGCGTTGCCAGAATCGCGATCTATTTTCTGATGAGTGGACATTTTTATTTAATAAAGACCGAATGTATCTATTTTTTGACGTTTCTTTTTTGGGGTAAGAGATGGATGTTTACCAATCACGAGTTGATGACCTTTTTCTTTCGAAAATGTTGGATGAGGTTTAACTTTTCTTTTAAGTCCTTTTATACTAGCCCTAGCACGCAATCCGGTTCCAAATTGTTTTGGCAATCCGCCTTTCTCAAGTAATCTGTCTAACCCCCGTTTTCCTTCACTTATAACTGTTTGCTTAAAATTTGGGTTAGAATCTTCTTTGCCATATTCTGGATTCCCCACACTTTCTAAAATTCTTCCACCAGTATCCAAAGCTTCTTTTGCTACGGCTGTACCAGCACTTTTTGCATAAGGTAAAAGGAAACGCCAAAAATTCCTAAGTACATCTCCAACACCCCCGCCTGCTTGTCTCCCGTATCCACGCTGATACGGGTTAAGTCCACGAAAATAGTAATAATTTTCATCAGCTCCTCCACCTGTTTGACTTATAGGTGCATGATGGTCATCGTATCCTACTGTCCGTGGGTCAAAGGGAAAATGCACCATATTTAATTTAGAATAAATAAGATTATAAGATGAAGATAATATAAATATTAATAAATTAGGTTAAGTAAAATTATGAATAGAACTTTAATGTTAGACAAAGTTAGGTAGTTATATAATCGAATATATTTAAATTAATTACTGAACAAAATTTTTAATTATTTTGTTAAAAGAATATAGAAAATACGTCTTGAATTAATTACTTAAATTAATTATTAATTTTATTTTATTCTTTAAAATATTTTTAAATTTCTAATCACCACCAATTGACCTTTGAAATTTACGTTTTGAATTCACACCCAATTTTAAATAGTTCACTTTGAACTTTTTAAGAAAATTTTTTAATCTTAAATTGAAGTATGAAATTTTAAAATTTTTTAAATCTATAAAAAAAATACTATCACTTGTACTTTTCAAGTGTCAATCAAACAACTTGTCACTTTAAAATTTCCCGGGTGCAGGGAAATATATTAGCGGAAGAATATTTAAAATCCTTAGGTTTGTCTTTGATTTGCCGCCATATACCACAAAATCACCAAATTATATAAGCGGAACAGTAGAGAGATTTTTTAGTGGGAGCGGCAAACTTGCCAACTTTCCCCTTGATCTTTCCTCATCCGCCGCACATTTTCTTTAGCAATAGCTTGCCAAAGTTATTCCCTTCCCACACCTCCCATTATTCTCTTTGGGGACGGAAGGGTAGGTACCTCAATTACTTCAAAGGAGGTGACCAAGGTCACCTCCTTTCCCCCAACTCCCATTTTTTCAATCACACTCTTTCCTCCAACCCCCATTTGTCAATCACACCCTTTCCTCCAACCCCCATTTGTCAATCACCCCCTTTCCTCCAACCCCCATTTTTTCAAATGGGACAGTTGGGTCAGAGGGGGTGGGGTTACTACTGCCATAGGTAAGGAGCTAAAATAAAAGATCATAACTTTGTTCAATCAAGTCGGACTTCGTTAATTTTAGTGTCATTCGACTCAACTCGACGAGCTCTTTCGAATGAGGTATAATTTACATATTCGAATTTTTCACCCCCAAAAAGTGTTTGGTTCCCCCTATAGTTTTTCGAACTTTAGGGTGCTGTATCTCGGCTCACAGTAGAGTCCGCGGACTAAACTTGGTGTCATTCGACTCAGCTCGACGAGCTCTTTCGAATGACATATAAATTATTAAAATCTAAAAAACTTTGGGTTACTGCAGTTTAGCAAAATTTGTTACTTTTGGAGCTGCTGAATCCTCATTCGGTCCACACAAAATCAAGAGTGAAACTAAAAAATTAACTTCAAAATAAAATATAAAACAGAAAGGTAAACCTGACGAGTTCACTATTCTCATTGAAAATTTCAGTGTCCGGATGGACCTAATTGGCCAATCAAAACTGCTGAAAAAAGGTCGGAAAAACAAATTGAGCAAAAAAAAAACAAACCCGAAGTAAAGGCTTCTCCGTATCGATTTATATATTACCATATCGATTTTTATAATTAAGAAATTTTTTTTCTAGCGCTAGTAAACATTGGAATAGATTTTATACAATAAGATTAAAAATTCTTCCTTCTGCTTCTCTTTGGTAAGACTTGCTAATCACTCTCCAGTGATTAGCAAGCTATTTACATCTCTCTGTCTGGTAATCGTGAGAACGAGAGAATAGGTAGATGTTTTTAAATATTATGAGTTAACATTTTGACATCGCAGCAGTGAAGATAGACAATGTTATGAAGAGAAAGAAAGAAATTTTCTCTTTTCTTTGCACCAATCGATAATTCTTTCAATTCTAATGCAGTTTATAGTATAACCTGTTGCCTTATTTATTGGAGTTATTTACTCCCACCTAATTTCCACATACATATACTATATTTTATCTTAATGCTTAGAAATAAACTCAAAATTAAATTTCCAATTCTAAGATTTCCTCATGAAGTAGGGTTAGATATTTGTTTTTATATTTTGATCATTCATCTTTTCTTTCATTGATTTCTCGCTCTTTACCTAGCCCTTTTTTCTGTGGCCGAAACATACCAAACATGGTGTCATTCGAAAGCGCTCGAAAAGATAATTCGAACTAGGTGTGGAAGAAGTTGGTTCGATACCTAGAGACCGAGATATAGGCCCACGAAAATTGAAAAATCATAGTGGAATCAACTACAAATGAGTACACCCCATCTTACCGCAGCCCAACTTAACGCGCCCATCTTACCGCAGCCCAAGCGAGCCCAACTTACCTCGGGCCCAACTTGCCGCAGCCTAACTTGCCGCAGCCCAACTTACCGCCGATAATTTCATAATAAACTAATCAATAAAGGTATTCAAATGTCGTGGAAGATTATTCATGTGTCGGGGAAAATTGTTCCAGTGTCGGGAAATTTATTTCCTCGTCCCGTCAGCGGGGGAAGATGTTCCTTCAACGGGGGAAGGGGTACTTTATGGATATGTCACCCCCCCCCTCCTATTTTGAGTCTCAGAGTTTTCCTTAAACGTAGAAAATGGTCAGAGATTATTTTCTTCTCCATGTCAATCATTTTTTTCTTCTTCAAGTATTTTGCTTGTTTATTTTGCCTTTTCACATATTTTTGAATTTAGTACTTACATTTCACTCATTTCGTTTCCACATTTCACTTATTTTGCTTGAAAAAAATAAAATGATTGACATGGAGAAGAAAATAACCTCTGACCATTTTCTACGTTAAGGAAAACTCTGAGACTCAAAATAGGAGGGGGGTGACATATCCATAAAGTACCGGGGAAGGTATCCCGTCAACGGGGGAAGTTGTTCTGTCAACGGGTGAAGTTGTCCCGTCAACGGGTGAAGTTGTCCCGTCAACGGGGGATGTTGTTCCGTCAACGGGGGAAGTTGTCCCGTCAACGGGGGAAGGGGGTGTGTTTGTCCCGTCAAAGGGGGATGTTGTTCTGTCAACGGGGGAAGTTGTCCCGTCAACGGGGGAATTTGTCCCGTCAAAGGGGGAAGTTGTCCCGTCAACGGGGGAAGGGGGGTGTGTTTGTCCCGTCAAAGGGGGATGTTGTTCTGTCAACGGGGGAAGTTGTCCCGTCAACGGGGGAATTTGTCCCGTCAAAGGGGGAAGTTGTCCCGTCAACGGGGGAAGTGTGTCCGTTGCGGCAAGTTGGGCTGCGGTGAGTTGGGCTGCGGCAAGTTGGGCTCGCGGTTTGCTTCGCTTCGGTCGCCGCTGCGGTCGGTGAAACAGGACATCGTGTAGCAAAGACCCGACTGAAAACCCATTAAAAAAAGTTCGAGAAAAGCTAAACATTTCTTCCAGGAATTCAAACATTCCAGCATCACGCGAAGCGTGCCCCAAAGCCGATAGGCTTTCCAACGCCCAGAGCGTTATCAAAAAAACGTATCATACCAAACGTTCCCTCAGACGTAACTAAACCCATTGCATACGCCCTTCGAGGCATTGCATACGTAACTACTAGCTCTTATCTTTATATGTAGTACATATGTAGTTCTATTCCTAAAATCATAGCAATAGGATAGTAATTTAATCAAGTCTACTTAAAATTTTAGTTTGCAGATCACTAACAATTAAAAAATGGCACCGAAACGAAGCAAGAAAACTTCAAACTTATGCTCATCATCAATACATAAAAATCAATTCGTTGTGGAAGCAATTCTGAACAAGCGAATGACAATTGATGGAAAAGCTGAATACTTACTTAAATGGCAGGGACACACGGAAAACGAAAACTCGTGGTAAATTTTTCAAATTTTTTGGCCTTATACTTATTCTTATAAAAATCCCTCACGACTTGTGACCATTTGTTCCTTTTTTCCTCCTTTTTCCCTTAATTCTTTACGAGGCAAGTATTAACGAGGCAGGTATAGCACCGCTTTTTCATTATATTTCCTGACCATCTTTTCTTTCCCTTATTTTTCACGAGGCAAGTATCAAAAAGGATTAGTATTAATGTATAACTGATTGTGATAATTAGGGCTCGGATTTATATTTAAATAGGGCACAAAAACGACCTTGGTCATGAACAAGCCTTGACTGACCAGTATCTGACCATTGAGTTCTTATAGAAGAAAGACAGAAATGACCGGTGATAGATGTAATTAAAAAATGGAGAGACAGTGGTCAGTTCGTGGGCAGGGCCGCTTCAGTGATTTATTTAAATATAAATCCGAGCCCTAGTGATAATTAGAGCGTGTTTTTTAGGTCCAAAAAATCGTGAAATAGGATCCTATTTAGGTCCAAAAAATTTACGAATTAGGTCTGAAATAGGTTGAAAAAGGCCAAAATAGGTCCAAATTTTGACAAAATAGGTTCTAATTTTGGTTGAAATTAAAACATTTATGTTATTTTATGTAACATTATGTTACCCAAAAACCCAAAAATTTTTGCCCGCGGCGCTAGTATGCTGACATAGCTACATTTAGTGGGAACTAGAATCTGCCATCATACTAGAAACTGCCATCGAAAATTGTCAGGTTAACTTATCTAAGACATTTCAGTGATTTTCCCTGATTATTGAACATTAATGCCTACACCATTTTGGTCAAAAAAATTTTTTTTAATTTTTATTTGTTTATTTGGGAATTTTGAAGGATGAAAAAAGATATTAACGAATTTGGAGTGGAATAATTGATTTGGGCGATTAAAAGAGATAACGGAGATTTGTGTTGTTAAGTGGGGGTTCTGGATTATTATTTTTAGTAAATTAGTTTTTAATTTTTCCTATCGGCTTTGGGGCACGCTTCGCGTGATGCTGGAATGTTTGAATTCCTGGAAGAAATGTTTAGCTTTTCTCGAACTTTTTTTAATGGGTTTTCAGTCGGGTCTTTGCTACACGATGTCCTGTTTCACCGACCGCAGCGGCGACCGAAGCGAAGCAAACCGCGAGCCCAACTTGCCGCAGCCCAACTCACCGCAGCCCAACGGCACCGAAACGAAGCAAGAAAACTTCAAACTTATGCTCATCATCAATACATAAAAATCAATTCGTTGTGAATCAATTTCTACAATCAAAAAAGGATTATTTTTTATATTTGACAAATATAAGTTTTTGAGAAGACTCATTTTCTCTATTAAAACAGTAATAAAATATCAAAAATAATCCTTTTTTTGATTGTAGGCAAAAATTAGAAAGGCAAATTGCATGGAAGGAAGGAAAAAGTCTGACCATTTTTTAAAAATATAGGGGGAAAATTGGGGAGGAAAAAATCGGGTCTGTATTCTTCAGTATTACCAAATTTCATAACTAAAGTAGGGTATGCTATTCTGTTTACCAAATTTCATCCCAAAGTCCCACGGACACCTCAGGCACTCTCCTTTGTGAGGGTGTTAAGTGAGGTTAAGCATTCGCAGGTGGACTTTTTCAAAGTCTTCCCCGACTCCATGCAAAAAGTTCTTAGTTGTTATATTTTTCAGGGAACCTGAAACAAATCTCAGCTGCTCTGTTTTGATTGAAAAATTCAACAAATTTCAAAAACGGAATGGAACAACTACTTCATCGGAACCTGTCGAAGAAATTATTGGTGCTGCATGGATGGATAGTGAGGTAGAATTAAGATAAATATGTATAACAAATTAAGGCATATTTTTTTGGTTTTAACTTTCTTTAAAATTAATGAAAATCGTTAATTCATTTTTTATTTTTAACACTAAGATACATGTTTATACACATAATTGAAAATTTGGTTCAATCTAATTATATAATTGAGAATGGTTTGTGTGTCCGTCTGTCCTTTTATAGAAGTGGATTTTATAAAAAGCGTTGCAACTTTAATTAGGTTCTAGGCTTGAAAAGTAGTATAGTAATAGCAAAGATTGACTTCTTTCAAACTCATCGATACCAGTGATTTTGATACCAAAGGTACTTGTGAGTTATCCCATACCATCTTTGCGGACAAATTTATGCGGACATTTTTGTAAAGAATAGTCATAAAGAATAATATAAAAACAAAATATAAAAAAGAAAATCATTCCAACTCCCAATATTTCTCTCAAGAATAATCACTTCTTCGAATACATCACCATCCTCAATCATCTTTGTACACATGAACTCGGAAAAATAACTTTCTAAATGGTGTCGTGCCTCTATGATATTCATTGTGCCATTTTGCGCTAACCCACATTCTTTCAACAGTTTGCGTGTGTGCTTTCCCTTTAGGATCGCTAAAATTATATCATAAACTTTCATTTCTTGTTTAAATTCTAGGGGTACCTGTGGTTAACTTTAAAATGTTCAAATCCAGCTTTCTTTTGTCTGATATCCTTTCCATGAGTCAGAATAGATAATAGTTCCTAGAAAAATATTTTCATCAACTGCTGCTTTCCTCAAAGGCAGTTTGTATTATTTAACCCGTTTCCGCCGAGGAGTCCAAGGATCCATATCAGTGGCTTATCATGGTACAACTACATTTCATGATTATTCCGACAAGAACAAATTTTATGAAGAAGCCGCGGTCATGTAATAAGCCGCGGTCATGTAATAAGCCGCGGTCATGTAGATTCCTTCTCAATTTTAGGTAAAGCCCAAATTTTCATTGAAATAGCTAAAAATGAAAAAAAATATTCAAGAAGGTCAAGAAAGTGCTTATTTCTTGATTTTATCCAATTTTATACGGCAAATTTAATCCATTAAAACATTCTAGGAATGTTGTGACTTATAGGGGGTTTTTTTGGCTGGACCGATTTGGACAAATGAGGTGTCATTCGAAAGAGCTCGCCGAGCTGAGTCGATCGCGGGCAGAGAGAAGTCGATCCGACAATCAGGGACCGAGATACAGACCCCTGAAGTTTGAAAAAGAGAAGGGGGAGTAAGCTCATTTTGGGGTGAAAAATTCGAAAATGCAAATAATAGCTCATTCGACTCAGCTCGTCGAGCTGAGTCGAATGACACCAAAATCAGCTCGATATCTTGATTCTGAGCTAAGATAAACAGGTTCAAAATGGTCAACATAAACCTATGGAGCGTCGGCGAGGCGCTTGTGCGAAACCCCGCGCTTCGCGCGGGGTTTCGCGGCACGCGCCTCGCGGGGAGTCTACGGGCGCTGGGTCTGGGCTCGTAACATAAACCTATTCCTATCTCCCTTGCTCTGGACGTATTTGGGGCCTCCGTAGCAGCAAAAATCTCAACAAATGCCATAGGTAAGGAGCTAAAATAAAATATCATAACTTTGTCCAATCTAGTCAGATTTCATTGATTCTGGTGTCATTCGACTCAGCTCGACGAGCTGAGTCGAATGAGCTATTATTTGCATTTTCCAATTTTTCACCCCAAAATGAGCTTACTCCCCCTTCTCTTTTTCAAACTTCAGGGGTCTGTATCTCGGTCCCTGATTGTCGGATCGACTTCTCTCTGCCCGCGATCGACTTAGCTCGGCGAGCTCTTTCGAATGACACCTCATTTGTCCAAATCGGTCCAGCCAAAAAAAAACCCCCTATAAGTCACAATACCCCATTCTAGAGCTTTTATTTTTTAAATATTCTTTATTTATTCCTTTGTATAATTAATCCTTTTTATTGAATAGAAAGAGGGAAGTGATAGTTGATCTGTTTTTCATTGAATATTGTCTATGCCAACATTTATCTGAAAAATTTTCTTGAATTTTGACGCAAAAATAATCAGTCTGAAGTGTAGAATTCAAAAGTTATTGTGAAGTTTCTTATAGTGTCGTAATAAAATAAAAAAATAATTAACGATTTTAAAGAAAGTTATAACAAAAAGAAAGTGCCATTAATTTGCCACACCAGGTATATGGTTTTATGTAAGAGTTACCCAAGCCCGAGAATTTTCTAAGGGTCAGGGCCGTGGGTGTTTCAATCCATATATTTTGTAAAAATGTCATTTTTCTAATTCTCATTTTTTGCATCTTGACAGCCAAAAAGCATACTATGCTTTTTTGTTCTTTGAACTAAAAACGAGTGTGTTAAGAGATTTGGAGAGATTAAAGGGAATAGAGAATATGGAGGGAATCGCTGAATTTTGAGGGATTAAGAGAGATCAGTGAATTTGGAGATAGTTCAGTATTTTAAGGCTGAAAATCGGTAAAATGCTAATGCATACAAAAACTAACAAGCGTTTACTTCAGTGAGACGCATGCCGCAAAACCCGCACAAGTGTCGTCCGACACCGATAAGAGTTCATTATTAATATCCCGCCCCACCCTATTTGAATCTTGATTAATTTTCCTTTTATTTTTTTCTGCCTCGGAATGGTCAATTTTCCTTCTTTATAAATTTTAATTTATGCCGTTAGCTAATATGATGGGTGTGGAAGGTGAGATATTAATAAAGTACCCCAATAGTACCCAATTTTATTAAAACTTGTTCAGTCACGTTGATTTTGATGTGATTTGAACTCAAGCTAGTTATCATTTGTAAAATCGGATTTTCTTATCAGAATAAAGCCTATTTTAACCCTTTCTTGACGAATTTTGTCCTTACGTAACTCATGAAAAAGATGTCCCCGTGAACCGATTCTTGCGTCATTCGACTCAGCTCGGTGGGCTCTGAGATATCTGATATATTTTGTACATCTAAAACAAAAAATTGATTGGCGGTACTGGGATTAAAGGGATATCGATGGATTGGGAAAAAAATTACTTACAATTGTTAGATTTTTTTCTGGGATAAAATCACTGTTCTATTCGAAACCCTATGAGATCCTTAACCAGTACGTATATAAAATACAATCTTTAATTTTAAGATTTACTACTTGCTGAAATATATTGGTACAGAAAAATCTTACTTCTTTCCTTCTCAATTTGTAAAAATTAATTACGCAGAAATGGTTATTAGATTTTTTGAAACAAGATACACAGAAGACCGTTAGACATAATATGAAAATACATACATATGCTACATAAATATACAAAGAATTTTATTGTTGTTTTGAATTTATAATTTTGACATTGTTTTTATCATTTTAAAGATTAAAAAATTCCTTCGAGTATTTGTAATACTTTTTTGTAATATAGTATTAAACCATTCCTCTGATCAAGCTAAAGAGATTGGTACTAAAATTGATAAGGGCCAGAAATTTTCCAGCAAGTTATGACTTTGCGCTGTTATGGCAGCGCGTCGGTAATTCTTCGGTTCGTACCCCAATTTTTTCATTTTTCCTTCCCTTTCACCCTTATTTTTCATGAGGCAAGTAACAAAACGGATTAAGAGTAATACTATTTATTTACTTTTTCTCAACAGGATAAAAAAGAGAAACACACCAAAAATTATAATAAAAACTTTAGAAATATCACCAAATCGTTTTCGCCACAGAAATTCAGGAAAATATGTTCGGGATGTATCAATGTTTTTGTTTGTCAATGAAAAATGGCCTGAGAAGACGAGAAGAATTCCGACGCTGATCGAAAACCTGAACACAGAGGTAAAAAATTTTTATCTGAGTTTTTCTATTTGTGGTGTGATCTTGGCTTTGGTTGTTTCACTTTTAGTTATTTTTTTGTTTAACACTACTTTTTAAATTTTTAATTTTTAGATTTTCACGCACAAACTCAGCTTTATAAGCTCGCGCCAGAACGCCTCCGCCAAAACTCAATTCTTTTTTGTTTTTATTCAGGGAGCGTGAAACAAATCTCAACTGCTCAACAAAATTCAAAAAAGGATGGAAAATGACTTATTGGTATAATTATTGGTGTTATTGTAATTATTGGTGCTGTACGAGTGGACAACGAGGTAAAGAAAAAAAATATTAAATAAAATACTTTGAATTTATACCTAAAATTTTCCAAGGCCAGATGGTTTCCATATTTTCATTTTTTCGTAATCTTGACAGCGCAAAAAAGAACATCAGCAAGTGATGTTTCTCTTTTATGGTTTTTAAGTTAGCGAGTGTGTCAAGTAATTTGGAAGAATTATTTACAGTTATTCCTAATGAGGCGAATGATCTGCGACAAATTTAATCAGATTTGCTGAGAAACATTCTAATTCGCAGCAGGGATCATTCAAGTAATTATTAGAAGAATGTCGCAGTTACATTGAAACGAAGTCTCAAGCAAAAACATTTGAAAATATTATCTAAAATTTATTATTCTAGCCTGGCTATGTTGTTGTCAAAAGTCTCAAATGAAAAATTGTTATATGTATTGTTATTTGTATTGAAATATATTTTTTCCCTGAATATATTATGTTGAGAAAAGCCCAAATATGCCATTAGTTTTTCGATATTATGATTTTGAGCGAGGTTACATTTCAATATATTTCACTATTTTGCCAATTTTCCAGTTATTTCAATATTTGGCACTTTTTTCAAATTGTTTTAATATTTTTGCATATTTTCCCAAATTTAGGGATTTTTCTTAATTTTAGGAAAAAACGAAGAAATCTGGCCACTTGTCAACAAAATTCTCAAAATTTTCGCCTTCCGCGCTAAAATGTGGATATTATGGTGTACTATTGACTGCAGTGCAGTTGCCTTCCAACTAATTATTCCCTAGAATGCCGCATAGCCATTATTGAAAAGGCGCCCCCAAAAAACCCACCAAAATAACACATTGGGCAAAAACCACAAAATCTCCCATCTTATTTCGTCAATCTCAAAATGTCCAAAGTGTAAAAATACTCAATTCGTCTAACTATACAGCTAATGTACAATTTTAAAAACGTGATTAATTTTTTTATTAAATTTCAACTTTTTTGGGGTTTGCTAGGGAATAAACATTAATTTATTTCAATATTTTGCTAATTTTTGGCATTTTTTGACAATATTCGTCATATTATTCCAATAATTTATGGTCATATTTTGCGATTTTATTTAAAGATAAATCCGAGCCCTAGTTATATGTATGCAGATTGGCATTGATTTAAATTTTTATTGAGAATATTTGTAATTTTCCCATTCTTATAATTATTTAATTTCCTTTATCAGCTAAAAAAGCTTAATCGAATGATACAAACTACTTCCATATCAGACATAAGTCTTAATTCAGACGACTTTTGGTCAAAAAAATGTCTAAACTTTAGAGAAAAATACTGAAATTATTTTATAAAATTTAGAGAAAATTTTTGTATCAAAAATTTCCCAACACTCTAGGAAAATTTTTGTACTTCCCATTTCCCCACCCTGTACTTCCCATTTCCCTCTAGGAAAATTTTTGACTCTAGGAAAATTTTTGTATCAAAAATTTTCCTAGAGTCAAAAATTTGTGTGTGTGTTTTGCCAGTGAATAATCATTAATGTATCAAAAATTTTTGTATCAAAAATTTTCCTAGAGTGTTGGGAATCAATTAAAAAAATAATTATCAATTTTAATTGAAATTGAAGAAAGTTATGCCAAAAACAAAAGGGGCGAGAAAGTTGCCGCACCCTGTACTTCCCATTTCCCCTCTTTCTCCTCAACCCAAACCTCTTCTTATCATTAATACATAGTTTAAAAACTTTCAACCTTATATATTTTTCTTATTCGGAAAATAAATTCGTAAGAAATGATTATGAGAAGAAAATTCAATTACAATTCAGAAAGGCATCAATTCAAGAATAAATATTCAAATAATTATTCATATAATCAAAATAGTCAATGAGGCAATTAATACTACAATTGTGGCATTCTTGGGCATTATGGAACCAATTTTCGTAAACCAAAAGTTTGGTTAAACCTATTAAACCGGCTACGGATTAATAATATCTATATCCAAATTCCTCAGGCCCTTATTGCGGACATTCTAGATCAGGGTGGCCCTTTTGCCCTATTTACAGGGCATTTGCCCTATTTTTGGCCTTTTCGCCCTATTTTTTCCCTATTTTTTCATTTGCCATATTTTTGCCCTATTTTTACAATCTTGTAAAATTTTTTCAATTTTAGAATTTCGTAAAAGAAATAGCAGAAAAAAGGAAAAAATCTGACTTCTTGACCTCCAAAATTCTTAAAATTTTCGCCTGCGGCGCTGAAAAAGGAAGAAAGCTGGATTTTTGCTTTCGAAAGTTCAGAAAATTGGATCAGCCTATGGAAAATGTTGTTCAAATGAATCAAATAATTTGGACGAACTTTTACTTGAGATTGGAAGTTTTAAATCTTAATTAGAATGGCTTAATTAAACTGCAATCAAGGAGAGAAGCGTTGATTAGGAGAGAATTCTGGTTTTAATTGTATCCAGGCATATGCACTCTATTTCTGATCCCGATTTGCTCAATTTAGTTAAACTAGTAAAAAATATACAAAATGCAGCTTTTTATTAGAAATTTTAATTATGTTTAAGCTTTTGAAATAATGCCCTATTTTTTGCCCTATTTTTGGCCGATTTCGCCCTATTTTTGCCCTATTTTTGAGTGGCTGCGCCCTATTTTAGTGTTTTGGAAAGGGCCACCCTGTTCTAGATCCTAATTCTTTTCTTATTAATCAAAAATGGACTACATGTAAAATAGCATAAAATTAAATTTATTTGTCAATTTTATCGTAATAAAATAAATTTAAATAATATTTTATTTATATTGTAAAGGATTGGCAAAAATTTTAAGTAGTATGAAGAGAAATTTTTATTTTATGACAAGTATAGGAAGTTATATGATTTAGGTATGCTTCTTTTGGTTGAGGGAATTTTTGTGTTTTTTTACATTTGTATATAACGGAAATACATGTGAATTAGACTTCACCCCCTCGGCATCATCCCGAAAATTATCCAGAGGTTTTTGATATGGGAACAATTTTTGGCCTAACTTAGGATTGTAGATAACAACCTAACAAGATATGTATGTAACTCTTATCAGATTATTATTACTTGCTCCCGGCAGTTAAACGTGGAAAAGATGACTATTAAAAAGCATATCTAAACCATATATTTAAATTCCCGCGTATTGTTAAAATAAAATTCACATAAGTCCTTCAATGTTTGGTGGTGTTATATACGGTAAATCTTTAGCATGTAGATGTTCAACTTGCTGGGGTTTGTACTCGCCATGGATTTTTCTACTTCTCTTTCTCCATAAAATTGCGAAAACAAATGATCCAATTAAGAGAAGTATAATCTATAGTAAAAAAATAATAAATCAGTGGTTTATTTTATGGATATCTTTTTGAAAAGTTTTGCATTAAATTTTAGCCTGCGTTTTTTTGCGTTTTTTAATCTTTTGACTAAAATAACGCAAAAACAAACTAATACACCTAATATGAGGGCAAAAAATTGAAGAAATCTAGCGCTGTATACGTGGGAGCACGAACCTAAATAAAAAATATATACATACTGTTTGATTCCTCTCGCCGAGCTGAATTCGAATATTTAACCCTTTTTTCTAAAAGACAAAAACCCGCAGAGATACAGGCCCCTAAAAATTGAAAAACTATAGGGAGAATAAACTCAATCTTTGGGAGAAAAATTAGAAAATACAATCGCTCATTCGAAATAGCTCATCGAGCTGAGTCGAATGACACCTAAACCACCATGATTGAACAAGATTTTCGAAAATTATGACCGTTTGTTTCAACCCCTTGCATAAGGCCACCGCGGAAAAGTTTGCCAATGCGGAGGAAGCCGCGAATGTCGACGGAACGACGGGCGCCGCTTCGCTACGGTCGCCATTGGTCATAACTAGGGCTGGGAAAAACCTGAGAAGTTTAGTCTAGGCTATTCTGGTAGTATCGGACACACCGCAAGTCTATACATAGCAGAACTAATCGAGAAAATATGGTAATGCAATAAATATTCTCCTTACTATTATGACAGCTGCAATAATCAAAACAGTCCACCAATGTCCCGAAGCATGAGCATTTGACATAGTTGAGGACATTAAGGAAGTGGAAGCTGTTGAGTTATTCTCCAAGGACGAAAGTTTTGTTGTAGAATTTAAAACTGCTCGAATTTGGCGATCTGTTGACGGCAAAAGGGGAGGGAGAGTATTACTATTGTTGTTTTCACTCATCTTTTTTAATCTCTTTTAATCGATGTTTTTTTAATTTTTATAGAAAAATAGTGAAAAAAATATTAAAGCTATTGTACTTTCATCTAAAAATAATATTTTAAAGAAGGAAAAGAAAGAAATTTTATTTTTTTTTGTAAATATTTTTAGCTGAATTTTTAAATGATGCCTGCCTAATGCTATTTAATTTTAGTAATCTATGGCTAACAAAGCTGTATCGAAACAAAAAACTTCGAAAATCAGATATAGAAAGAGTTTAGCAAAAGTTTAGCTACCGGACAGGATTTGAACCTGCGACCTCCTCGTAGTTATTGCTAGGCGCTTTCGCTACCACATAAAGGGGCTCTACAACTGAGCTACAGGGGCATCGACTAATACTTTTCTTTTTACTTTTAGATCGTTTAACCCCCGCCTAACAAATAAGCGTTTTAATTGCTCTAGGTGAATCATCCTTACAGTATTTAGAAACAGCTTCAAAGGCTAGAGGGTCTCGTATAATTATTTTAACCTTATTCTTAAAGTATTTTTTTTAAAGATTTATACGTATTTTAGTGGGAACTCCGCGAACGTTTTTACTCGATTTCAAAACTAACTAAATAATTTTTATTGTGAGAAAATTATTTAATAATTAAGAAATATTATTTAATAAATAATATATGGAAAATTAAATTTTCCTTTATTTATTTCAAAAACATCTTTAAAAAATGATTCCTATTCATTTCATGTGATTTTATTTGTTTACAAAATTTTGTTTACTAAATTAGTCACCAAACATATTGTTAATTTTCCTTCTTTTAAAATTAAATATTGAAAAAAAGAAAAATATAAGAAGCCACAAAAGATAATAATTAAAAATAGTAGTAGAGGATTAAAAGTCGAAAAAAGTCCTCAAAAAAGGCTTTGCTTTTACCTTTACTTTACCTTCTACAGTAAACAAAAATACTTGAGATTGAGGATCTGGGGGAGGATCTGTGAAGAAATTTTCTGGGAGGCAGTACAACGAGGGAGGTGGGGAACGGGGAATTTTAAGAAAAGTCTGAGAACAAAAAAAGATTTTGGGTACTTATGAAGATGGAGGTGCCCTTTTCTGCGGACTTTTTTTGCGGACTTTTCTTCCTTTTTAAATGTTTTGGTTGTTTTGCTTTCAGCAAGTTTTGCTCGTAGCAATTAACTGTCAAAAGATTATTAAAAATTTTACTTTAACTAAATTTTCAATTACCCGCTGATGAATTTCGAAAATGGATCACTGATCTCGGAATGCTTCATAGAAAAAGAATATGTTAATGTGGAACAGAAATGCGGTAATTTCAAACATTCCCCCCCCCCCCCCCCCCCCGTTATTTTTATTACCAAAGATTGTACAAAATGGTCAGATTTCCTTCCTCTCTTTCCTCTATTTGAGCTTGGCATATTCAAACAAGAGATATTGTTGATAAAGAGAAGATTAAATTTAATTGAGTTGTTCAATACTGAGTTCAATTTATTTTTTCAGTTGTTCAATATTTTTAAATAGAAGTAAGAATGTAATGTTTTTACACACAAATTCATAATGTTATACACCAAATCAATTTTATTTAATTCTTTTTTTTGTTTAAATTGTTTTCAAAGGCAAAAAAATAATCTTCTCTTTATAAATGTCTCTTGTTTGAATATGTCAAAGGGCAAATAGAGGAAGGGGAGGAAGAAGAAAATCTGACCTTTATGTACAATCTTAGGTAAGAAAAATAATAAGGGGGAGGGCCTTTGACAGTTAGTTGCTACAAGTAAAATATGTAAAGGAAAGGAAGAAAAGTCCGCAAAAAAAAGTCCGCAGAAAGGGCACCTCCATCTTCATAAGTACCAGATTTTGTTTTTCTGTTTTGCTTGATGAGTCACATTATTTTTAAAAAATAAACTACTAAAAATACAATAACCACGTCATTATTTTCAAAACAAATTATATTTTAGGATCGCATCACTTTTTTAGTTTATTGACTGAGAAAATTCAATAAATAAATATTCTCTCCCCTTGAAAATGAGAGGAACCACTTATGAAAAGAAGAACATCAAAAGAAATGTGAATTTATGAGCGGCGTAAAAATTATGTGAAACAAGCCAGACGTTAAAAAAAGAAAATTTTAAATTTAGATTTAATAAAATTATGACAGTAAAAGATGTTAAAATATCTTGTGGATAGCGATTTGTTTTATTAATCATCAAAAAAAATTGGAAAAAATGACAAAAAATATTAAATGTCAATGCCGTACGGGAGCAGGCCAAGGTACCACAAGCCCAGGGCACCGCAGAGCTATAACTTCGTTCAGATGTCGAATCCGGGACGCCCCGGTATGGTTCGATTCAGCTCATAGAGGCGCATCGAACCGCACAAGGGCGAACAGGATTCGACCATTCTGAACATAATTATAGCTCTGCGGTACCTTGGGCTTGCGATACCTTGGGATGTACCCATGCCTTACATGCCTCAGAACCGTCATAAACAGTTTTTCCTTCTCTTCAAACTTTTTTATTGTATTTTGAGATAACCGGATTTAATTCAAGTCAAAAAATTTTTTTGAGAAAAACTACCTAAAATTAAAAGACTACCTGCACAATTCCTTCAAAAAGCAAAAATTGATGAAGAAAAGAGGATTATAGTAAAAAAGATGAGCGATTTGTTTGTATATATTTTTTAAAAAACTGGGGGGAATGACCGAGTTTTGAGTTTTGGTTCGTCAATTTTTATAACATAAATTTAAAAAAATCACAGCCAAACAATTTCTGAGGATTATAAAAATAAAATGTAAAAAATTTATGTAAAGAGTTGTGTAATTTTGAGAATAAAAATTTGGGCAATAAAAAAATAAAAAAATGTTTTGGAAAAAATAATTTTACTATTTTAAATATATTTTTAAAAATAAACGGGAACGAGAAAAAGAGAAAATTTGGGGGATTTATTTTGTGAAGTGGAAATTATGAAATTGAAATTTAAGGAAAAACATGTTTAGAAGATGGAAAGCAACAAAAAATGTTCCAAAAAATAAAATCATTTATGGAGAAATCCTGTTTAATTCCGGAGATATTTAAATATAAATTAAATATAAATTAAAGACACTCTCTAATAGAAGCACACCCTATGAGAGGATCGAAAAATAGAACACATGTGCTTCAATTAGAGAATTTACCGTATTTAAATATACATAAATAAAATTAAGAAAAGTATGTTTTTGAAGAACGAGAAATTTAGTTCCAGAAAATTTAAACAAGGAAATAATTAAAGGAAGTAGTATATATTTAATAAAAAAAGTTCTCATATTGGATACAAACTTTTCCAATTTAAATTTCCATGGTGATACTTAGAAAATTAAATTAAAGTTTAAAAAATGTAAAAAGGCAATAAAATTGGCTGGCTCTAATTGTGTTATTGGGAAAATAAAAGAAAACTTGTTTAATGAATAAATATATTTTTTAATTTTATTTTTAAATGGCAATAATTTAATTATAAAATTTAAAAATAAATTAATCAAATATTTTAAAATATTTTATATACTATTATTAGAATTTAATCGTTTTTGCTCATTTGTGTGAATAAACATTTGTCAGCCTATTTAAAATAAAAAAGGAAAAAAAGGTGGCAGTCAATGAATAAATAGAAAACTGTGAAAGAATGTTTATATATTTATTTATTGAGTGTAATATTTATTGTCGGCTGACTTGTATATTTGGCCAAATAAAGGAAGAGGAAAGAAAAGACGGAAGATGTGTGTAGAGGACAGTTAAAATGAATAAAATTAAAATGTAAAATTTAAAAATGGTTAATATTATAAAATGGCAAGTGGAAAACCTCAATTTCTTAAAAAACACCTTAAAAATATTATTTGGTTTCTTTGTTAATTTTATCTGATAATTTTAGCAATTTTAAAAACAGAAAAATTATAAACTGCCTCTAAAAACTTTACACTGCCGCAAAATTATAGCCACACCCCTATTTTTCATGATTAGAAACATAAAGGAAATTAAAAAGTTGCGTTTTAGTGGGTTTTAAAACAAATTAAAGATTGTTAATTAGTTAAATAATAAAATTGTCAACAAAAAATTGAAAAATAATCTTAATTGATATTTTATCAGGATTCGATACTACATAATCCCGATACTTATACCGATTCTACGGCTGTACTTTAACCGGTGGCCTACTCAGAAACGGGTCAAATTACCTACATACCATTCGATTCGTCTCGGCGAGCTAATTCGAGATATATGTATGTAGTTCCTTAAAAACCGAAAAACCATAGGGGGTGTAAGCACATTTTCGGGGTGAAAAATTCGATTTATTGAATGATAGCTCATTCGAAAGAGCTCCTCGAGCCGAGTCAAATGTCACCAAAAGCAACGGAATCCGACTTGATTTGACCAAGTTATGAGCATGTGTTTTTGCTCCTACGAGGGAAGCCAGACATGCCGACCGCAGCTATGACATTTTGCTGATATTTTGCGGACATCTCCTAATTAATAAAGAGTAAAGCAGCTGGGCTATAGCTATTTCTCTCCTTTAGCTAGAGCAAAAGGTTATTCGGCGGCTGGGAGCGAACCAGCATCTTCAGTAGACCGGACTGATGTGTTAGCCATTACACCACGCCGCCTACTGCTCAGCCTTAGGAAATTAATAGCTATATGCTTTACACCTCCATCCCCAGGGAAGACTGTCCCTAGTCTTCTTATCTGCCCTCTTCCCGCTTTTTCTCTCACCTGCGGGATAAACTAAATCATCGCCTTCTCTGGCGGAATTTCCTTTCTCTAACCCAGGGCCTATGGGATGGATCGTCATACGTTCAGCGTTCGCTGAACCATCCGGTGCTACCAGTAAAGCAGCTGGGCTATAGCTATTTCTCTCCTTTAGCTAGAGCAAAAGGTTATTCGGCGGCTGGGAGCGAACCAGCATCTTCAGTAGACCGGACTGATGTGTTAGCCATTACACCACGCCGCCTACTGCTCAGCCTTAGGAAATTAATAGCTATATGCTTTACACCTCCATCCCCAGGGAAGACTGTCCCTAGTCTTCTTATCTGCCCTCTTCCCGCTTTTTCTCTCACCTGCGGGATAAACTAAATCATCGCCTTCTCTGGCGGAATTTCCTTTCTCTAACCCAGGGCCTATGGGATGGATCGTCATACGTTCAGCGTTCGCTGAACCATCCGGTGCTACCAGTAAAGCAGCTGGGCTATAGCTATTTCTCTCCTTTAGCTAGAGCAAAAGGTTATTCGGCGGCTGGGAGCGAACCAGCATCTTCAGTAGACCGGACTGATGTGTTAGCCATTACACCACGCCGCCTACTGCTCAGCCTTAGGAAATTAATAGCTATATGCTTTACAAAAGCAAAATTTAGATTTATACTCATGACCTGCTTCAATTGGTAACCATCAAGAATTCGAGATACCTATTTGTGATCAAATAAAAATTTAACGCTGATTTTTTATATTTTAAATTTGCTTCAACAAGAACAAATATTGTAATTTGGCTACAAAAACAAATAGCCAAATTGTGTAATTTTGGACACACAAATTTGTGAAATCAATTTGGTTGATATTAGTTTACTTTTAATTTTAGCTTTATTAATCAGAGCTCATTATGTTCTGTCTTATCAGCTCAACAAGCTTTTGAATATCCAACATTTTATCCAACCTTAATCATTATATTCCATGTATATATCTACAAAATATCCTATCTTCATCATTATTCGATTATCGAAAAAATACCGACGACCCCTCCGTCCGGGCTTTACTACAAAACTTTATTATCTAATATTAAACTTAAACTAAATTATAGTATATTTAATTAAATTTTATTATATCCATACGTATGTATAAATATATTTGAATTTAAATATATTATAAAGTACATATAAAGGTGTACTTTTTGTCTGGCTCAATTTTAATTAAAAATTTATTTTAACAAAATTATGGCAATTTTTATTGTTTGTTAATTTTATCAGGCTATTTCAATAAATTTTTTGTTCTAAAGTTTGTCTTAAATTATGCACTTAATTATTAGAATATTTAAAATTAATTTTAAATTTGTACTTTCTGTCTGACTTAATTTAAATTAAAATGTTGCTTAAACAAAATTTATATGATTAAATTGTCTGATATATTGTATAAACAGCTTTATTAAATATTTTTGAGGGGAAGTTTAATTAATTTTTGGAGTATATAAATAAATTTGAATTTCTATATTTCTAAGAAATTTTAAATATATTTGGGATTATTAGCTAACAATAAAAGAAGTCAACATAAAAGATGAAAGACCTAACCAACGAGCCATAAATCCCAAAATACAATTATTTTAATTAACCGATAAATAATTTAAAAAGCTAAATTTCCCATTACATAATTTTACAATTTCATTCACTTATATGTTTAATTTTGAGGGAAAAGCAGACATGCCATAGATACGGATATGGATACAGATAATATCAAGATGTATTCGCCGTAAATATCTGAGATACGGATACCAAAATCAGTATCTGTGAGCAGGTCTGGTGAAAAGTAAAGGAAATCGCTTTTTTCGAATAGGAAACATACTTCGTCATTGGAAAAATAATCTTATGTTAGGCCATTTGTGATAGCTATTAACTGTCCGCTTTCCTTTAACTATTAAAGTTTTAAATAATTATTCAACAGATTTTGCATCAAATATTAATTCAAAAAATGAAATTTGTTATTATAATTTCCATTGTTTTCTTGTTGCCTTTATTATCCCTTGCATTAAATCATGAAGGCGCCGCTTTTTGTAAATTTCCAAAGCCTACAAGTACTCAAACAATAACAAAGACAATGACTATAGTTAAAAATACTGATTTTGAAATGAAAAGAATTATTTTTAATGGCAAGAGAGATACTTGCCGTAAAAATATTCCTGGATGGACTAACAATTGGGACCATGCAATTATTGTTGAAAACGGTGTTACTATAAGTAATCTTATTTTGGGGGAATCTCCAATAGGCACTTCTTCTGATATTATTTGCAAGGGTAGTTGTACTCTTAAAAACGTTTTGTAGGTTTTTAAATTAATAATTTTTATTAAATTTTTAAAAATTCAATTTTGTGTGGAGGAGGGGGGGGGGAGGGTAACAAAAGAACGCTAATTATATAGAATCGAAGTTGGATTGGATCCGGCCAGATTTATTTTGAATTAGGTTGGAGATTAGTTATCCAGAGATTGTAGATTAGTTAATCCATTCTAAAAAGAAGGAAGTATTACATGATAGGTTGCTCGCCTCGAATAAACCCTGCTAGATACTTTAAAATCTGAGTTTTAAATTTTAGTTTTGAAAATGTTTGTTGGCGTGCTGGTACCTTTATAGGCGCATCATTGTCTAAACCTGGAGATAAAAGGAAATTTACTTATGTATGATGTATTATTTAATTTAAATTTTCTAGCTATTGATTTTTTAGACTGTAGATGGTGGGGGTGCTTTAGATGGTTTTCAGAAAATTTTTTGTACAGGAGGACCAGGACAGACAATTGTCAAGAATTTCTGTTCTGTTAATAACTCGATTGGTGTTATCTCTGCCGGCATGACTTCAGTTCAGTATACACGAGACGTTACCATTGAAAACTCAAAATTCATGGGGCCAATGCTTACTATAATTGGTAAATTCTAACAATACTAAATTATTAGTGTAGTAATAGTCAGAAAAAAGGGGACTTTAACATGATGTCTTGAGGGGATAAGATACATGAACAACATTTTTCTATACGAATATCCAATGATTAGGGTCCTTGAGGAACCGAAGTTTTTTAGGTCGATTTTTCAGTTTAACTCCGCATATCTGGAGATTTTTCTGGAACCTATTTTGGGTATTGGATAATTAGATAGTGAATAATTAGGTAGGGGAGATTGGGCAGTAGTCACTCTCCAAATGTTCAGGATCCGATAACTCCAACAAAGATACCCTTAGAACTTTCAAACTATGAAATTAATTTAATTTAACAAAAAGGTGGAAACCGAAAATACAACGATAAATTAACTCTTCGAAATGTGCAAATTTATGGAAACAACAAACCGGAAACTAATATTAAATTTGCTTGTTGTGAGTACTTAGGGGAAAATGCTGCAAATCCTTGGAAATATAGTTATAAACCTGGGGAAGCTGGAACCAGCGATAAATGCTGTAAATACCCTGCTTCGGCTGTGAAAATAATTAATTGATATAGAGAGCTAACATTATCTGGAAAATTAGCTTTTAAATGTTATTATTTGTTTTGTTTTTACAGAAAGAGTTACAAGAAATTTTTTTCAAAAGAGTCACAATTAATATTTTCTGTAAACTATTAGTTAATTGTTAATTAATTGTTAATTTTGTTCATACAAGAAAAATTATCTTTCCACTGATTTTTACGCACAAATATATAATAAAAAACAACTTTGACTTGTAGTGATGAGTAAGTAATCAACTCTAGTATTTATTTAATATATTAAGAAGCTTCACGCCCAAGCGATTCTCGCTTCTGACAGCCGGCTAGTTCTGCTGCGCGACTTTTCTTCTTTTGCCCTATCCTTTTCCCAACTCAATAATTATCTTTTACTTAAAATCTAAGGAATGCTTTTTGATTTACTTAAAAAAAGGGTCTTTAATATATCAATATTTTTTTTATTATTTTTTAATTATTAGAGTTATTTAATGATTTTTAAAATAATTTTTTTTATTAAATACTAATTTTTATTTAACCTTCTATCCAATCCCAAATTTAAAAATAGCGTCGAATCATAACTTCTTTGTTTCATGCCCTTAAGGTCAATTTCTTACATTAAATTATTGAACTCAAAAATATTCTTGAAATTTCATTAATCCTCTGAAGGAAATTTTTAAAAAAACTCTAAAAGATCTAATTTATTATCAGTGTTGGGCCTGGATGGGTTTCGAATTTTTTGGGGCGTAGTTGGGTAAAAATCTGAAAAAATCGTTCGGGGAGCGGGGCCAGGGCGAAACTCTATTATTCAGAATTTTTTATTTCTTAAAAACTTTCATGTCTCTTTCTTTTTATTAAGTAAAAGATTTTGCCGCACAAAAAGCAAAGAAGAGATATTATCTTTTTTTATAAACTATTTTTTGTATAAAATTTTTTTATTATTTTCATATCTTTCTTTAAATACACTAACTGACCTATATTTTATTAATTTGCATTTATTTTAATTTTTATTATGCGGACCTATCAAGTTTCTAAGCTTTTATTTCTTTTGATTATTATTTAATTTTTATTTGCATAAGCTTAATGCTCAGAATCAAAGACATTTTTGATCTCTTAAATTACTTCCCAAATTTATTTAATAATTTTATTATTTTATTTATCATAAAATCGTTAAATTTCTCTTAATTTTGTAAACCAATATTTGCCTCTCAATTTATCAACCAAAAATTAAAAGCATGCCCAGAGTTTTGAATCCTGCTAGTTCACTTAAATAATTCAAAAACTAAGATTGTCTGTTCAGAAAGTTTCTGGATATTCCAAGAACCGGCATCCACATATAAAAAATACCAGAATTATTTTTCTAGATTTATTTAGCACAGTATTTTATAATTTCTGAAATATTGTTTCTCTAAATTTAAAATTTTGGTCTTTCTAATTAAAATTTAACTCTTTTTTCGGGTACACGACTAATAGGCGCAGACGAATAGGCGCCATTTTTTCGGCGCAGCATGTTTTCGGCGTCGAGGGATAAAAATGTAAATATACAAATAATAGCTCATTTGCATGAATTAGACGAGCTTTATCGATGATACTGAAACCAGCTTGATTCAAAATTATGCATAAACTTATGACCAACAGAATCTTCGCTGGAAAAACTGTTTTTGTGCTGCTACGGAGGGTAGGCCGGGCATGGTCTTCGCTACACGATGGCCGTGCTTCGCTACGGTCGCCGCTCGCTTCGCTCACGGCGAGCCGCTTCGCTCACGGCGACCGTAGCGAAGCGGCGGCCGTCGTTCCGCTCGACATGCCCGGCTTCCTCCGCAGCGGCAAAAACTTTTTTCCGCGTAAATTGATTTTAACGCCGAAAATAGGCTGCGCCGAATAAACTGCGCCTATTCGTCTGCGCCTATTCGTCCTGCTCCGCTTTTTTTCGTGCCCGCATATCTTGCCAATTTCATAACTTGCCAATAGGGCTAAAAACCCATATCTTGCCAATAAGGGCAAAATTCCATATCTTGCCAACAGGGGCAAAATCCTTAAAACTTGCCAATAAACTTAAAAATTGCTTTAAAACTTGCCAATAACTTGCCAATCCGTTAAAATGATTACGGAAATGGTTTCTGGAAAAATATCTTCCAGAAGTATCATCCGGAAAAAGGATTCCGGAAATGGTTTCCGGAAAAATGTCGTCCGGAAAAAAATTCCGGAAAAATGTCGTCCAGAAAAAGCAAAAAGGATTCCGGAAAAATGTCGTCCGGAAAAAAATTCCGGAAAAATGTCGTCCAGAAAAAGCAAAAAGGATTCCGGAAAAAATTGTTTCACATTTTATTTGTGTCGATAAAGAAAAAAAAAATAATAGTTTCCGGAAAAATACTCAACCATCTGGTACTCAACTGACCCCAACCTCTTTTACTTTTATTGGCAAGTTTTAAGGATTTTGCCCTTATTGGCAAGATATGGGATTTTAGTATTATTGGCAAGATATGGGTTTTGAGCCCTATTGGCAAGATATGGGTTTGGCAAGTTATGGATTTGGCAAGATATGGGGGAGCCCTTTTTTTGCTTAATTTAGATGGCAAAAATGCAAAAAGATGGGAATATGGGAGAGAAAAGGGGATATACTAAATTCTCTGTTATTCTCTTAATCATCCTTTTCCCCTCATATTTTCATAAAACATTTCATTTTCTTAAATAACTTCTTTATACTAAAATAATTTAATTAAATCCAATATTTTGTTTACATTCTTCAAGTACTTTAATAATTTTAACAAAGAAAATTTTCTGTAAAAATACAAAAAGTAAAGGGAAATCTTTTTAGGTTGTTAGTACACTCTGTTTCAAAAGTATAACCCACTTTAATTTTTTTACTTTTTTAGTTGCTTAATCAATGTATCTTTTTGAGATTTTGTATTTAGATACATTTAACAAATCTACGAAGATTCCAAAAGTTTCATAAAATTTTGTTCGATACAAAATTTTTAATTAATTTTTTTTTCGAAATTTTCCCTAAAAAAGGTGTTTCATAAGTATAACCCACTTTTATTTTTAATATTTCCAACATTAGGAAAAATCTACAAAAGTTCCATCAACCTTATATAGGAATATTATAAAAAAATAAAAAAAATTAGGCCCATATCTCTACTCATTGTCGAGATTCGGACATCTCAAAAACCTCGAAAATCAACGTAAAACGAGGGTAGGTCTATTTAAAAAATATTTTTGACACATTAAGGGTAGTTTTTAAATTTTATTTTTGGCATATCTGAAAGCCCTTAAAATTTGCTACAAGATAGCATCTGCCTTATTTTTCAGAAAAAATCCATTAGCGAGATACAGGTGGTCAAACTTTCGCATCAACAAAAAACGCCTAAATGCCCACAAAATGACCGTTAGGGTCGCTTCTGAAGTTTAACCACCTGTATCTCGCTAATGGATTTTTTCTGAAGAATAAGGCAAATGCTATCTTGTAGCAAATTTTAAGGGCTTTCAGATATGCCAAAAATAAAATTTCAAAACTACATTTACTGTGTAGAAAATATTTTTTAAATAGACCTACCCTCGTTTTACGTTGATTTTCGAGGTTTTAGAGGTGTCAGGATCTCGGCATTGAGTAGAGATATGGACCTGTTTTTTTTCTAATTTTTATAATATCAATATACATGTTTGAGGAATTTTTTTTAGATTTTTCCTATTATTGCAAATATGAAAAATAAAAGTGGGTTATACTTATGAAACATCTATTTTGGGGTAGAATTTAGAAAAAAATTAATTAAAAATTTTGTATTAGATAAAAATTGATGGAACTGCGGGAATATTCGTAGATTAGTTAAATGAATCAACATACCAAATTTCAAAAAAATACATTAACTTATCATCGAGAAAAGTGAAAAATCAAAAGTGGGTTATACTTTTGAAACAGAGTGTATATCGCCCTCTTCTACTTGGCTATTGTTTAGCTTTTTTGTTTGTTATTTCTTTATTTGCTCGATATATCCTCTTCTATTTTCTAAATATACTTCGTTTATAGATCTCGCTTTCATTTTCTTTTTAACTTTAAAAATATTTTATTCACTTAACAAAATTTGAAAATTACAAAAAAATTTGATCTGACATAGACCGAGCTATCGATGGCCTTATGACTAAATATGTAGGCTTATGAAAGTCGGGCTTGGACGATTTTCGTATCTCTTTCTTGAAACGGCTTTAGATATTACCAAAATCGACTTCTTATGACATTTTAGTTTTACTCTCAAAATTATCGTAGTTATCATTAGTTCTTCCGAGTTCCGAGTCTAAATTACATCTTAATGTCATTCAAAACAACCATGTTTAGTCAAACTATACTCTCGATTATTTTGTGTATTTTTAGATTATTTACCTGAAAGGTTTCTATTAAAAACTTTAAAATAAAATATTTTCCTCCTACATAATTCAAAATAATATTTATTTAATTGAGATGATGTATTATACATAGATTTACTCACACAGTTATTGACCAAATAAATAAATACATATTTGTCCTCTATTTTTTTAATAATCTTTAAATCCTCTTTTAGAGCAAAATATTTTTATTTATTTTGAATAATGGTGAAATTTGTTGTTAAATATATTTTTACTAAATAAATATTTTCTATTTAAGCTCCAGGTATTTTTAAGAGTACCTAAATTCTATTAAGTAAAGGGTGCCTTTAATTAAAGTGCTTTATCAGTCCAGAAAATTCAGATAGCACGAAGTTTTGGCTCCTGACGGTCCTAGCCTTTTGACAGTTCTAGACGTGCATCAATCTGGAAATTTATTAATGTTTCATCGGAACCAAAATTCTGATTGGAACCGGATCCAATTTGAGTTCCGTATCCCGGAACCCAAACTTCTTATAAAACTGTAATACATATCTATGTATTTTCTCTCTAATAATTTTTCCAAAATTTAAATTGCTTAACTCCAATCTACTCTAAAATTGATACCGAACTTGAAAATGATTAACATCTAATTAAATTTCATTTCGCTAAGATTCCTAAAATAAACTAAAATTCATTCAAATTTTTGGAAATTAACTTTTAATTTTTTTACTTTATTAAAAATTAAATACTTTTTTTTTATTTTTTAGATTTAAATGTAAATATAAAATATTTTTAAAATAAATTATTTTAATAAAAAATGTGTCATAAGCATTATAGTAATTATAATATTATTGCCTACTTTTCTAATAATTTTAATTATTATTTTTATATTTTGTTATTTTTTCTTCTTTTCTTTGGTTTGTTTCTTTAATTTTTCCTTCTTAAAAATATTTTTAGTTGAGGTATTAACTCAACAATCTTCTTCTTCTACTCCAAATACCCACACTTTATTATCACTAATTAATTCATTAGAATTTCCTACTCAAAGGGAAAAATGCCCGTCAAACATATGTTTTAATGGGGGAATTTGTTTTATTCAAATAAATAATGAGGGAATTAAAGAATTTGAATGTGATTGCAAGTTGGTTAATTTTGAGTTTAATTTTAGAATTTATCAAAAAATTTTGAATTGAGTTTCCTTTTTTTCAGTTTTTAAATAAAATCTCGGGAATCGACATGGACCTAGACATAAGTTCATCTCGTCCGAAAAACTTAAATCCTCGCAGATCCCCCTACCCAACATTGCCCAATTAAAAATCTTTTTGAGGCTGTGAAGAAAAAATTAACATAAATTCTAGTAAATATCACTATCAATATAGTAAGGAGTATGGTTGTCGGTTCTTGGAACATTTTCGGATACCCGGAACCCAACCGAAGAAGTTTGGTTCCAAACCGACAACCCTAGTAAGGAGTACAGGAAAAAAGATTTAAGAGCAATATACCAAATTTCAAAGTTAGTTTGAAATAAATAAATTTTTAAAATAAATTCTACTTTTGCCTTTTCTAAATTTTTATTTTAAATTTATTTGAAACTCCTCAAAATATTCTAACCATTCTATAAGTATTTCTGGCCATTATTCGATCCTTTAACAACAAGTAAATTAATTTAGGAAAAGTTTTGTTGGCGATTTGTGTCAATCAAAATGTTCAATTAATTGTCAAAATGGGGGGAAATGTAAAAGATTAACTAAAATAAATGAAAATAATTTTACTGATTTTTGTGAATGTTTACCTGGTTATAAAGGTTTAAATTGTGAAGAAGATATTAATGAATGTATTGAATATGGAGATAAGAAGGCTTGTCAAAATGGGGGTATTTGTATAAATAAATTGGGCTATTTTGAATGTGAATGCCCTTCTGGATTTAATGGCTAGTTTGTTTCTTTGTTTAAAGAAATATATGAGCATTATATGAGAATTTTGATAAATCTGGATAAAAATCAGAGGGAATTGGTTATTATTTATGTGGTCTTTCGACTCAGGACGATGAGCTTTTTTGAATAAGCTTTATTTAACTGATATTCGCAATTTTTGCCCATAAAATGAGCTTACTCCCCACTATGGTTTCTGACCATTTCAAACTATATCTCAGTCCACAGGCATCTCTCTGGACAAAAATAATGGTACCGTTAGACTCAGAACTTTTATTACCCTATATATGACATTTTTAGCATTAATTTAGGGGGAGGTGGCATAACGGAAAAAACACCATTTCTGTTAATAATTTGTAGTGGAAATAATTGTTTTCTCAGTTCCTGGAACCTTATTCTTTAGACAGTAGTTCCGAAGCCGTGAAAACAAGCGTGTAAACATCCTTACTCGGCGAGATAAAGAATGTTATAATTCTCCAAAATTTATTATAGGTACTTTTTGTGAAATGCCAATTATTACTAAACCAGAATATTGCCCTTCTCCCTTTGTTTTATTTAAAAATTCAAGTACTGGAGAAGATGAATGTGTTTGTGTTAGGCCTAGAAATGCGGTTAATTTAACAATTAAAGTTAATTTACTATTAAATTTTACTCAGAATTTGGAGGAAGAAGGAAGTACTTGTGAATTACAAGAATCTAACTGTCCAGAAGAAATATGCCAAAATGGTGGAGAATGTGTACAGTTGGGAATGAAAGCTTTTTGTATTTGTCCAAGCGAGTAAAGGATAAAATTAATTTCAATTTAAGAATTTATTTTTAAAGTTTTATTGGGATATATTGTGAACAACATAAAAATAATGAAAATAAAATAATTAATAATTCTTTAAATGAGAATAATAATATTTCTTCTTCAAAAATAATTTCATTAATTCCTACTAAAGAAAAAGAATGTAAAGTAAAGGGGAAAAATTGTTTAAATGGAGGAATATGTACTTTTTCTAATTTGGAAAATAATGAATCTTTTTGTAAATGTACTGAGAAATTTACTGGTACATAAAATAATTTTTATTTTATATTTTTGTTTAAAGAATGGAGAAGGGAGGGGGGATAGAGTTGGTGGATCTTGGAAATCTCAGGATATCCGGAATTTTCGGATATACGGACTTTTTTCTGATCAGGATATTCGGATTCTCCAATTTTAGTCGGAAGTCTCGGAAGGTTAAAGACATTCTGTAAGCTACTTTTGTGAATCTTTTTCTTTGACCTTAGTAGTGGGGGAGGTCTCGGAAGGTTAAAAACATTTTTTATGCTACTTTTATGAATCTTTGAAAGAATCTTTACCTTAAAACCTTTTGTCTTACCAACTACATTTCAGTCAATCATTCCTTCACTTCTAAATATTTTTAGGACTTTGGTGTGATCGACCATTTCGATCGGCGATTGATCAATCATCTAAAGAACGTCATTTTCTTGAAGCTTTATTTACTACAGAAAAAACTGCTACAATAAAAAATGTTTTTTTTAATTTAATAAATTAATGTTAAATATTTTTAAAGGAAATCGAGAATAATCTCCAAACAACAACCCCAACAATCACAACAACCAATTCTATCTCAAAAAATATAGAAAATAAATTAAAATTACCAAATAATGATATCCAACAATTTTTCACTAAAATAGACTTTCCTAAAGAAAATGAAAATATTAATACTTTAATTTTTGAGGAAAATTTAAATAATTTTGATATTTTTTTGACAACAAATACATCCGTTAAGTTTGTCTTTGTTCGAAAAAAAATTTTTTAACAAAATTTTTATTTGAATTTTTATTGAGGAATTTATCAATTAAAATTGAAAATATTTCTTTAAAAATTATTTTATTTTTCCATCAATTTAAAGAATATCAGGCACACCCCGATGACCGCGAGTCCAATATACCGTCGAGCTATAACTTTGCTAAAAATATGGAATCCGGGACGCCCTGGTATGGTTCGATGCGCCTCGTTGAGCTGGATCGAACTATACCAAGGCCTCTCAGATTCGATAATTTTGAACGAAGTTATAGCTCGGCGGTGCATTGGGCTCTATTGGCTTACTCCCAATACTCCCAAAAAATTCCGAAAATCTTCCTATTTAATATTTTTATATAATTTAGGAATTTGTCCAAAACTGTACCCAATGTTCTCAAAATTCAACTCTTAAATGTCTATTAATTGACAATACAAAAGCCAAATGTCTATGTTTAATTAGCTATAGTGGAGTTTATTGTGACCTTGAAAATAAAGTAAAAACAAAGACTTTTTGATTAGAAAAATAATTATTTTTTCAAAGCATCCCTGTTTCTCCAAAAATTGTTCAAAAACACCTACTAACCATTCATGTATTCCTATTAACTATTCAAATAATAATTACAAATGTGGATGCCCTCCTGGTTTTAGAGGTTCTATTAACTGTTCAGAATCTCCAATTCTCGGATTTTCCAATTCTTCTGTTTTATTAATTCAACAAAATCAAATTAAAAATAATAAAAATTATAATTTGGAATTTAGTTTTAGAACGACTTTAAATAATGTACATTTGGTTAGTGGGGAAAGTTTATTAGGAGATTTATTGTAAGTTTATTTGAATGGAAATTAGAAAATTAGTTTTGAGTCCTCTTGTTTAATTTAAATCAAATTCCATTCTCTATTCGTTTCTTACCCATTGTGATTCGTAGAAAATCACTGGATTTTCGGAACTGAACAGAAAAATCCTTGGTTCCGAACCATCTGGATTTCTAGGTAGTTTCGGGATTAAAAAATAATTTCGAAGTTATTTTATAATTAAACTATTTCAGATTTACTTTTGGCCTTTTAAATGGAAAATTATATTTAAAATTAACAGACGAAGGAATTAATATCAGCTTAACAAATGATCAAAATAAAACAAATAATTATATTAATTTTCCTCTAAAATTAAATGAGGCTGATTGGTATACTTTAAGGATATGGTCAGGCAATGGAGGGGCTGGCTTTGAATTAATTTTGACTGAAAGTTTGTTCTTAATGAAATTAAATTTTTTTATCCACTTTACTAATCAATTTGTGTTCATTAAACTAGTAATTTTGTTACTTTCGACCCTATCTTTCAAAAAAAGTTTTGGGGCATCCCTGGGCACAATGTTAAATAGTAGGTAATTAAATTTCTGTTGGAAATAAAATTCAAACAAAATATTTATAAAATTATTTGCACTTTTTCTATTAATCATAACATTATTTTTGTTAAAAATAACAATATTATTTTTTGCCTCCTTTTCGCTTAATCATCTAAACTTTTTTATTTAAATGTTTCAATTTTTCCATTAACAGATTCACTTTCCTTTCCCTTTCTATATATATAAAATTGTTGGATAAAAATTAAGATTTAAGTTAAAAATAATTGTTTGAGTGAATAAATAAATAATCTGAGTTTAAGCATTGATAAATTTGAGATTTATCAGAGTGGTGCCACGAATTAAGGCCCATTCAAACAACAACAATTGAGCAGCGAAATAGAAGAATTTCGCCTTTGAGAAGGGAAAGAGGTGAAAGAAGAGAAAGAAGACGTGAAAGACAACAACAAACAAACAGGCCCCGAAGGGTTCCAAGAGAAAGTGGTCGTAGATTCAGGCCGCAGCGAATTTTTAGGCCAAGAGGATCACGGCAACAAAGAAATTGGCAGCCAGCCCGTGCTTTGCCTCCTCCACAAGCCACACAGACAAGTCAACCGCCTTTCATTTTAAATTTTCAAATTCCAGAGACTTCGTTACTTCCACGCTTTCCTATTCCGATACAACAGCAACAACAACAAATTTTTTGTCCACCAACTTATTCTGTTTGGAATCGTGTTACGCCACCGTGGCAGCAACGTCCCTGGTTCCCACAACAAAATTTTAGACAATTTGCACCACCTCGTTTTGAACAACGCAGATTAAATTATTATAATGGGAGACATTTTGGAACAGGCCATCACTCGTCTGCAGGCACGTCTCGCGCGTCACAACGCTGAAGCGGCTCAAGCTGACTTTGTAATCGGAGCAGATTTAGGTGGGCAAGAAAAAATTAATAGAGTAGAAAATTTGATAAAAATGGCTGTGGGTTTTGAGTTTAAAATAAAAAATATTATGGAAGAGCTAAATAACCAGAATCTGGAGTACGCAAAGTACTATCAGGGCCTAGGGCCGGCACAAAGGGCATCAGAAAGAGAACAATATCAAAGATTCGGTTCCGGGCCCACAGGTTTCCTCACAACAATGGAACATAGTAGGGAAATTTTAGACACTCTTGCGGAGAATAGGCGTTTTCTCGAGAATATGGTCCCAAGCCCACTGCGCATGCCACAAAGTATTAATGTAAAACTTCCTGAAATAAAATTACCCGAGTTTGAGGGAGGTTGGCAAAATTGGAATGCGTTTTATGAAGAATTTTGTGCGGCTGTCGATGAGCAAGATATACCAGAAAAACGCAAAATGCAGTACTTAAAAAGCGCACTAAAAGGAGAAGCGTTGGAAATTATAAACCAATTTCCACTTGAGTCGAAAAATTATAAAATAGTACTAGATATTTTATTAAAAAATTTTGGAAACAAAGAAAATATTAAAACAAGCCTCCATGCTTCTTTAAGGAAAATGCCCCGAGCCGGTAAATATATTCCAGAAGTTAGGAAAATGTTAAGAAAAGTTGAAGCAATTATAAAACAGCTCGAAAATTTAGGAGAAAATATAGAGCATGAGCAAATGATACTTGAAATAGAGTCTAAGTTACCCAAAAGATTTTTAACAGAAATATACAAGAAAAAGCGAAAAGAGAGAGAATGGAGTCTAAAGGCGATGATGGAATTTTTAGATGAAGTAATTAAGTTGGAAGAAGATGTCTATATGGTCCATAAAAACTACGAAGAGGGTAAAGGGGGGCCTGAACGCGTAAATTATGAGAATAATCAAAAATTCAGAAATAAGCCAGAAATAAAACAGCGGTGGAGAAATGAACCAGAAAATATTAAAAAAGTTTCCACTGCAATGTACGCGTTCACAAAAGGTCCGGAAAAACAAAAATTTCACCAATGTAAATTTTGTCAGGACAAACATTTCGAAAATAAGTGCACAAAATATTCATCAAAGGACCAGCGCATTTTAAGAATTAAGGAATTAAAATTGTGTTTTAAATGTTTTTCCCCGTCCCATTTAGCCAAAAATTGTCAAAATATAGTTACATGTTTTTTATGTCGAAATAAGCGTCATAATACCGCTTTTTGTAATAAAAGTTTCCCACAAAACTCAGTCAATAAAAACACTAAAAATTTTCAAAATGTAAAAAGAAATTTTGAATCGAATCAGAATAGAAAAAATATGTTTATGGCCACTGAACAAGAATCGATTGAAGAAAATGAAGAGACCAATGAAGTTCTCATTCAAAATTTCACAAAGAAAACAAAAAATAAGAAAATAAATTTTGAAAAAGAAAATATTCTAGAAAAGTCAGAAAAACCAATTTGTCTATTACAAGTTGGAAAAGCAGACATAAGAAACCCAAAAAATGGAAAAATAAACTTAAATGCAGCTGTATTTTTGGATTCAGGATGCGAAATTTCCTTAGTCAGAAATAGCTTTGCGAAACAACTTGGTCTTGAGAGTATAGGATCTAAGAAGTTTAACGGAAAGGGATTATTCAATAAATCAGTTGTGGCTAATTGTCCGGTTTTTGAATTCGAATTACTTACTAAATTAGGGGAAATTATTAAAATAAAAGCCTATGGAACAAACGACTTAGTAGAATACGTACACATGGCTCAACGTAAAGATAAAGAAAGTAAAGGAGAATCTGAGTTTAATATAATAGGCGTCACCCCCCAAATGTTAATTGGTTCTGACTTTTATTCTAAAATATTAGGATTAGAAAAAATTGAAAAGGGTTTCCACCTACTCCACACTAAAATCGGATCAATAATAACAGGAAAAGGACACATATCAAAAAATACTTTAATGTGTTCAATGATAGAGAAGGAAAAGAATTTAAATGTAGAAAAATGGTGGGAAATCGAA